CCATGGTCCCGTCCCCCCTCCCCAGCCTCCCCCTCACCCACCCCTAGCACTTTCCAGCTTGGAGTTGGCTGCAGCTCCTTGATGCAGCCACCAGAGACTGCCTGAATAATCAAAGCTCTCCAACTGTTTTCCAAAGATTTGGAGAGATTTGAATCAATTCGGACCTTTTAATTGGTCCCCTGATTTGATTCGGATTCGAAGATTTGCCACCGAATCAGGGCAAATCTCCTCCACACTGAATCTTCGCCCAAGCTTCACCTGAAGCTTTGTACAGCCATAGTGACAACGCTTCCCCATAATTTGGTGTCATCCGTGAGCTTGGCCAGTGAGCTCTTCACCCCCACATCCAAATAATTGAAGAAGATGTTGAATAGTACTGGACCAATTGCTGACCCCTGCGGGACACCACTGGCCGCTTCTTGCCAAGACAGCACAGATCCGTTCATTAAAACTCTCTGTGTTCCCACCCTGCATCCAGCCTCCTGCCCACCTTACTGTCTCACAGTTAAGCCTGCAATCTGGTACCTGAAAGGAGGTTGCATGGATGTGATTGCTTTTCTGTTAAAACATATTTATTCAAATGTAAGGAAAAGAGAACAGGTCACCACCTGCAGTAGGCAACAGTTGACAGCTCAAAGGGCTCTCACTCATGTATCGAGAGTATATATTACACAGGAGATCTCTTACATCAGTGAGGACAAGTGGCAGAATTTGGCTTGGGATGAAGGTTCTGTCTTGCCCTTTAAGAAAGGTTGTAACAATAAAGTTGTCCTTTGTTTGTATGTGCGTGGAGGTGAGCCAGAAATTACCTAAGTCCTGATCCTGAGCTGTATTGGGAGGGATATAAAGTGGATTTTAGACACCATCCTTCAGCCCAGATTCTGGGCCTGGCCTCTGATGCGAGTCAGGGCACCCCTGGAACTTCTCTGACAGGGCGTCTTTGAACAGCCTTCTGTGTGAAAGTGCAGAAAACTTATGCAATGCCCCCCACCAATCCCTTGGTCACAATCCTGACACACTCCTTGATCGGGGATTGGGAAAATAGACTCTACAAAGGAGTAACTCTTTGCCAACCCACCAGCTCCTGGGGACACCTCCTGTGTCTTCACAGCAAAAATATTCCTTTGGGGGCAGTAAAACCAGTTCTGCTGTCTCTTTATAGTAAGCTGTGTATTAATCAGTGTGCTTTGCAGTAGTACCTGGAAGCAGCTCAGAATGTTTTCCAGTGGTAAGTACCCTGGAAGTGCTTCTCTTTAAGATCAGTCAAATCTCTGCAAAAATCCCGCTAAAGTTACAGGCTACATAGAGAGCCAGGTCTTCAAAAAACATTTTGACTCAGCACCTCCAGCTTTGTGCCCACACATTTAGAGAGTTAACTGTCCAAATGTCAGTATTTTTACTCACAGCTCATTGTGGGTGCATGTATACAGGTACACAAAAGCAAAAGCCCAGTGTTCAGGCAGGCCTGATGTAGTATCTGTACATGACAGAGGTGACACTAAGGTATATCTATTAGACAGATTTAAAGATAGAGATCATTAATTGTTTATAAACCATTTTAAAAATGCTCACCCGGCAGGTGCCACGTTAGTATTAGAGCAAAGATCAAATGTTACTTGAGCTTGTCCTTTCATAATCAGAACTGGTAGTTTGAGCTGAATGCAAAAAATGAAAAAAGAAAAGAAAAAGGAGGTCTTTTTGCTTCTCAAGACTGGAAATAGTTTAGAAACCAAGCTGGTTTCAGGCCCAAATATTAGTGAGCAAATTTGTCAGAACAGTCTTAATTTCTCTCTGGATGACTGGTGATCCAAAGTAGGAAAATCCGTTTCGGAATGAGTGACATGTAACAAATGGAAGGCTTATATTCTAAGTAGTGAATTGCCCGTCAAGAATGATGGATGAATTTCAAATAACAAAAACAAACAAATAGATTTTACTTTTTATATTTATTAAATAAATTAAATATTTATTTATAAAAAAATAAAATTGGCTGAACATTTGAAGATACCAATCCCTTCCTGCACTTGCTGTCATTCAGCAGGCTGGAGGTGGACCTGCCCATGCCCGTGCACCTCTTTGCCCGGCAAGGGCAAGGGCAGGTGTGCTCCACGCCTTGCAACAGCAGCCCACACCCCAGGGCTTCCTCTGCGCTGCCCCAGGCACCTTCTTCCCTGCTTGGGGCTCAGGATGGAGCTGCTGCTGCTCTCCCACTGCCTTGCACCTCTACCCGGCCCCCTCTTTTCCTCAGCTGGCTCCTCCCTCTGCCCTCCACATCATACTGGGCTCCCAGCGCCCTCCTGGGAAGAGCTCAGTAGAAACAGCCTTGGCCCCTGACTTTTTTCCTAATTCTGGAAGTTGGGATCATCCTGACATGATCACTAGACAAATACTAAGTTTTAGCAAAGAAATTTCTCTGAAGACACAAATGTTCTTCTCTTACAGTTTTCAAGTTATTTGCATTTAAAGAGTGGTATGGACAGACAGACACACAGACAGATGGACTAAGCCCTTTATAGATAGATAGGTAGGTAGATAGATAGATAGATAGATAGATACTCAGTGCCATACCTAGACTCCTGGCAGCCCCAGGCAAACATTTAACATCGGGCCCTACTTCACCAGTGATAATGATTTTTTTGTTTCAAAAGTCTTTATCTCATCTGTGGTATTGATGACTTTAAATAGTTAGTTTTCAATTGATAACATTACCAGTCCCATATATGCGCTATATTAAAACCTTTTTTTGCCATTGCAATTTTTTTTCATTTTTGGGCTCCTTTTCTGT